AAAAAAAAAAAAAAAAAAAATATAGCAAAATCGCAACAACAGAGTTTCTGGATATCGACCATGCGTCGATATCCATTTTTCATTCTCTCTTCGGGTCTTGTATCAGTTCTACAAGCATAAAGGCCATGCCATAAAGCATCCCCCGTTTCTGTTTCAGCTGGAGTGGGTCTGCGATCACGCATTCCTCGGCTCGGCGGCACAATCGGCCTTCTTCGTCGGCAGCATTCTTGGAGGCTTAATATTCGGCTACATAGCCGACCATTATGGCAGAATTCCAGCGTTGATCGCGTGCAACGCGGTGGGCTTCGTCGCGTCCATTGGCACCGCGTTCTGCAACAGTTTCTGGAGCTTTTGCCTGGCGAGATTAGTGGTCGGTTCCTCGTTCGATAACTGCTTCAACGTGCTTTTCATCATCGGTGAGTCGTAATCGCCAACGATATTATTAAGAGAATAACGGATGCCGGTGAGAATAAAGAAGCACCGTAATTTATGGCTTAATTCTATTACACCGATGACGACTGAGTTTTGTATAACGACTGGGACACGTGTGTTTTAAACGAACGTTCATTGACCCGGGATATCCTGTTTTAATTCGAATGTTTTTTGTTTATTTAAATCAGATTCTTATTGGATATTTTATAATATGAATTTTTTTTTTTTTTTTTGGAACTAAGAGTTCTTTGTAATATTTATATAATATCTTGTACATTTATTACTATACTTGATTTCTCATGTGCGTTAAATTATTTAATTCTTCAATGATTCTACTAGAATTTCGTGGTATAAAATTATACGAGTATTAATTGTACGTTACGATCACTATGATTAGAATTAAAGACGTATTGCTCTTGAAATTCTTTTCAACTCGGGGTGACTTAAAATTAATTAAATATTAATTAATACCAATATTTAGACTATTTAGAATTAATACCATTTAGAATTAATAAATATTTAGAAATTAATAAATATTTTGAGTATTTAGAATTAAGAATTAAGAATATTTAGAATATTTAGAATCAAATAGAAGAATAGAATATTTAGAATATCTAGAATTTATAATTAAGAATATTTAGAATATTTAAAATCAAATAGAAGAATAGAATATTTAGAATATCTAGAAA